GATTAGTAAACTGAATACTTTGATAACTCTTTATTGTGAAACACTCTCAACTGCCATCACTGTATTACAAGAATCTTCCTAAACAAATTGCCCTTGGCAGCTCATACTTGTGAGAACAGGCTGGAAAAAATGAATTGTTCTACAAATCCACACATGGGTTTGGCCACAGGTCAGGGAAAAGAATCTGGTTTGGTCTGTGATGTTTTTTTTATTTCAGTCTCTAACACCTAGATCTGAAAAAGCTTCATTCACCTGTTCATGTCATCATATTCCCCTTTTGCATTACAGGACATATTAACTGTTGAACAAACTCACAAAATTTACTTCAATCTCATATTTCCAGAAAAAGAGTAGGAAAGGCAGGGAAAGAAAGAGAGGAAAAGGGAGTACTGGGAATTACTAGAAACCTTATATTGCTTAAATCAGAATTATTCATAAAGCAAGTAAAGTGTCTGTCTTCCATAACTAATTGTTCTCTTTAGGAACAAGAAAAAAAAAAATTTGCAAATGTTACACATTGAACCTGTTGAAGAGAAAAGGCTAGAAGAATAAGAAAGGCATTGGGCAGGTAGTCACACAGTATCTGTACAATTCAGGGTTTCAGGAGGATACTTCATAGATTATACACTGGCCTTTGGCATCAAGTGATTTCTCCCTGGCTGCATGGTGGCTGTTGTTACTAGCACAGGATTCATCACAACATTCACACTGACAGTGCTGAAATTCATTGGTGCCTCAATTTATGAAGGGTGATATTAAGTCTTGTATTTGGAAAGTTCTAACTTTAGTCCAGGAAGATATGATGAAACTATCCAATGAAACTATCCAGCCATATATCCTGAACTGGGCTTTGAATTACAAGTTTGCTGCCAAGGACGCAGACTGGTTCATTAGAAATGTTGAGGACTAAGAGTACTCCATGGGAATCACCTAGCCTCCATGTGTACTCCTAATTAATTATTTCTAATTAAGATAAGGTGGTGGAAAGACCATGTTGCTCATGCTGGTCCTGAAGCTTGTGCTTTCCAGGGTTCAGATGGGGCCCCTCAGATGAACTCCCATCACCAAAGAGCAGGGCAGCTTTGAAGCATCTTTTAATAGTTACTTGCAACTCTTTCATCATCTTGCCCAGCAAGAAACAAAGGTCACGGTAAATTACTTTGCATGCTCACAAACACTCCCTAAACTGAGTTATTCTTCTACATTACTGTCTTTGTAGTCTTCGCCCTGTCTCTGCAGCTGTGGACAACCTTGTAAGGGAAGTCCAGTCGATAAGGAAAAGGCTGGAAGAATTGAATGAACGTCTCAATGTCATCAGCAAAACTGTCCTTCCCCTTCGACTGAATGCTCTGCAGAGCCAGAGGCGTGGAAATACTCAGCTGCGGAGACTCCCGACACACAGGAGAAGGTTATATGCTCGCAGGAGACCTCAGAGCACTTAATTCTCTACCAGAAAAAAAGGGGAAATCATTACTTTTTTTTCATCTGCTTAAGTCTTTCTCAATGGGACACTGCTAGAGAGAAAAAAAGTAAAGCACACACACAAGTCAGCTTTGCTAAGGAGACCAGAACTTCTGTATTTTGTTGCTGCCTTTCAAACCTAGGTCAGTAGGTGAAACCTGACCCTGTTTTTTAATGATGGCTGTTTTGTGTCTCAAGCAAAAAAGAGTTGACAAGCTCAGTCTACTTGAGCATGAATACCTTTAGTCTATACAGGCATTCTTTCTGCTTACCAGAGGAAGGTCATTTTATAAAGATCAGGTGAATTTCTCTCTCTGCCCTATTTTTAAACCACTCCATCTGAAACAGCTGGGGAATTTGAACTTCAAAAGTGCTGAACAACTGATGAATGCAGAAAGATGGATTAGTGCTTGGCACTTCCAGCTGGGCAGGGAGAGGAAGTTATGTTTCAAAATACAGCCTTAATCTATTGCCCATGTTCATATGTTCAGAGGGTGGGTAGGGCTGGATAACATTGGTCTGTACATCATGCTTCAACACTGAAGACAAATCAGTTGCTAGGGACCAAATCTGAACATCCACCTTCTGCAAAGAGTGTTTTTCTAGCTACCTGTATCTGTGCACTCAGAATGGTGTTATTCAGTAGATGTATTCAGAATTTCCAGCACTCTGAAACACACTGAACTGATTTTTGCCAAGTCCCATGAAAACCAGGAGATTTTTGTTTGGGTTTTTTTTCCCCCCCCAAAACTATTTAGATATCTACAAAGATAGGTGTCTGGAAGGATTTTCCAAAATAGCTTAAGAGACTCCTCAGTCCCCAAAATCACAGATAATATTTCAATTGGTGTCTAGTTCACAGAGTATTTTCTCCAAATGCCAGCACTGACCTCCAGACATTTTCCAACCTCCTTTAGCACAACTAATATCTGTAGAAAATTAACAACTGGGCTCTCCAAAGATTTTGGTCCCTCAGGGACTACCCAGAATACTTTGCCTTCAGCTTGTCTTTGCCTATGTCTTCCTGACAATAAAGCTGGTTATAAAAAAGAGTGCATTAATCAAATTATACACGGAGTGGAGGATAGAGTGCACTTGCCCTTCAGGTGTCTAAAGATTGATCCAATACATAGATTTCCATTCAGCATTGCAGTCAACTGTGTCAATGAAATGTGTTGAAACATAAAAAGGAGAGCCAGAAAGGAGAAGAAACAGGTTGTCTTTAAGGTCTGGATGAAGCAATTTATGAGAACACAAATAAAGAATGGATTGTGTCTAAATGATTGTGGAGGTGTCTGACATGACAGTTGTTTTGAAAACACTCTCAAGTCACAGTGAGGATGCAGACTAGCTATTTAAGGATTCCCAAAGCCTGAGTTTATGGAAAGAAATTCAGTGACAGTACAATAACCTCGAAAAGGAAAGGGGGGAAAAAACTAGTTTCATATGAAACCTTTCAGAATGGACCAGAAGAATTAACACAGTAAGAATTTTAGCTGCAACCTGGGAGTTAGTTGAGTGGGGGAGGTATGGACAGTGTATGAGACAATCTGATAAATATTTCCCTGATGTAAATTCTCTGAGTTCAGGTTTTCAGAAAATAACAAAACTCAAACTTGGCTCTCTTTGGCTTTTGCTTGGGAATTTGAAACACTGCTTAGCCAGAGAAGGGAAAAATCAAGACTGAAAAGGCTGATAAAAGGATACAGTTGTGCCTTTGTTGAAGTTGTCATCATAATTTCTCAGGAAATGTAGAGCATTTTGATCCCAGAATATATTTACATAAATTATGAGGAATAACAAGAGAGAAAGGCCCCTAACTTCTTGTTATTCTGCATTCAGAGTTTCTAGGCTGTGCTGTAGCAACAGCTGCATCCTTGCACAGACTGCTGATCCCTCCAAGGGATGCTTTGCTTGGAGCTGTAGGGATTGCTGGTTTTTTTTGGCCTATCTGAAGGAAGAGTACAACATAAATGTTAGCTTTCATGTTCATATTTTAGACACCAGCATTTTGTCAGGCAACCTGAAGTTGTGTAAATTGAGGACTACTTGAAATAGAAAGATGAGACTTCCCTAAGTCCCTCAAGTTACAGATGGCTGGTGGTGGGAGGCCAGACCATGTCATTGCATCCTTTTACTTTATACCTAGATGTCCACCAGCAGCTTCTGCCAGAGACAGAGGACAAGGCAAGATGTACTCCCAGTTTAACCCAGCCCATGTATTCCTGTGCTGATATGTGCAAGTTTATAGTCTCAGCAAAACCTCCTCAGCACAATGGAGAAGGCCACCATTTGCTGTATAAGAGAATAAATAAGTTGCAGCATTCAGTGTATATTACAATTCTGCAATTTCATGCATAATAGTGAATAAACCAGGTAATATAAATGGTTAATAAATTACTAGTCTGTGACCTTGTCAGCAGTGATAGCAGCCCCTGTCATTCACTCTGTGAAAGCCCATGCCAGGCTCCAGCCCAGCTCCCTGACCTGAACACAGCCTGTTTGATCAGATGATAACAGCCAGCTTCTTTAACCTGCCTTTGCACAACCCTCTGTCTAGCTGGAAAAGTTTTAGTGTCCTATTTCTTTTATATTTTTATTTTTTGCTCTTTAAGAGTGTGGGAAGGTTATGTGCCAGCCTACTTCTGCGCTGTTCATCTTCTTTTTGAGGAGGCAGCAGTCCAGCTGAGCAACTTGAGATGCCTCTATCCCATCTGCCTGGGGAAACTGGTCTGACTCATGGGACTGATTCCCAGGGACTGGTATTTGATTTCTGCTTCTGCTAACCTCTTAAAATATCCTGGGTAAGGAACTTTCTCTAACTGGTACTTGTTCTTTGACATGGCTTATACAACACAAAAACATTTGTCACAAGGTGTCCAAGTCTTCTATGCATATAAATGTATCCAGCTAAGCTCTCTGTTATGCTCATTTACATGTATTTCTGGGAAAGGATCTGGACAGAACTTTTAAACAGAGGTGACCAGTTGGGTGGTCAGTGGAGGGAGTTCAAGTATCATCAGGAATGTCTAAAATCTACACCTCACCTAAAGTTTACAATATCCAGTGGCACAAACCACTTACTTAAAAAAACAACTATGTCCCTTTTTAGGCCTGTTTAGTTCTCTTAATAAAAAAAAAAAAAAAAAGCCCCAAACCACAGAAGACCGAAAAAACAAGAGGTTATGATTTTGCAATTCCAGGAGCACGGTGCCCTTATGTGCTATGCATGACACACTTTGACAGTACTTCCCTTTTCCCGTATTTCATTTCTTTCATATTCCCTCTCATATTTCCTGTCTCCCAGAGATGAATCCCATCTGTTGCCGCACTTCACGACTGCTCACACTTCCCGGCGCCCTCCACACTTCAGCTCCGGGACCGCCGCTCCCGGTGCCCTCGCACGGCGCCGGCCCCGCGGCACGGGCGGCCTCGGGCGCGCCCTGGGGGCGACGGCCGCGCTGCGGGCGGGGCGGCTGCGGCCCTCCCACCTCCGCCGAGCGGGGCCGAGCCGAGCGGGGCCGAGCCGAGCGGGGCCGAGCCGAGCGGGGCCGAGCCGAGCCGAGCGGGGCCGAGCGGTGCTGGGCCGGGCCGAGCGGTGCTGAGCCAAGAAGCGGCATCATGCTGGGCATGGTGAAAAACTCGCTGCTGAGCACGGTGGAGGCATGGCCCTACCGCCTGCTGAGCAAGGGAGAGAAGGTCTGTGCCGGGGCGGGCGGCCGGCGCTGCTCCCCGGGCGGTTCTGCCCCAAGGCGCTGCCGGGGAAAGCGGCTATCAGCCCCGGGCAGCGCGCTCCCCCTGGCAGCGCCTCCATTCCCATCTCCTTCCCCAGGATCAGGTCAGCTACGAGGAGAGGGCGTGCGAGGGCGGCAGGTTCGCGGCGGTGGAGCTGGTGGGAAAAGCGTTCGACGAAGCCTCAAAGGAAGGGGCAGTCAAACTCCTCAAGTACGTCGGAGGAAGCAACGACAAGGGTGAGAGATGCTGCCTGCACCGCGGGGCTTGGCGGATGTTTGTGGCTTGGTGAACGCAGGATGGATGGAGGCAATGGCACTGCAGGCCCGCCTGGCTTGTGGCTCCTGGCACTGGGAGTCTTTGATGGGGATGGCCCCTCACTGGGAAAAGTGAACTTACACCAGGTTAAGTCGTGCCCAGCCAACTCATGCTGTGGGTCCGCTTATAACCCATCTCTGTTTCAGGGTAAAATCTCAAAAATTATTTGCTTAAACAGGAATGAGTTACCTTGCAGCTGGGATAACATGAGGACAGACAGACGTGTATCTATCACAGCTCCCTGGGTGAGCAGTAGCTGATGAAATCCAGGATATCTGGGATACTTCAGTTCTATGATGTGCCCTTGTGGGCAGTGAAATAACAGTTATGACCTTGATATTTTATCTGGCTATTTTTATTCATGAAAGAGTAATGAACAATGAGCTTCATTTTTTAATGGTATATTGTAATGTTTTATGGCAGTGCTTCCAGGTGATTGCTTCTAATTCTCATTTTACTAAAGTGTGTACACTTTAACCATTCATAGCAGGAGAAGACTACAGAGTAACTGTGAGGCATATACATGTTCTCGAACACCTTTCTCCAGCATCAAGCAGAGGGACTAGTGTAGTCTCTGTAGGAGTAGGAGGTGCATGCAGTGGGAAATGATATTTACAGCAACATTTTTGGAAAGGTGATGATCGCTGCTGCTGTAGGAGAAAGGGTGCCTTCTGTAACATGTGACACAAACACAGGTATGACATAAAAGGAAAATAAATGAGACAGATGGTTCGATCTCAGCTGTTTTTATGGCTGCTTGATCATGAGGTTTAGAGGTTCCCTAATGCTGCAAGAAGAGTGAAGAAAAATGGTCTTCAGTGCCATGTGGTACTTCTTGGTGGTAATGAATAGGAAAAAAGCATGCTGTTCCTGGAGTGTGGACAGCATGGACAGTCCTGCTGAAAGCCATAACAGCACTGAGGTTTGGGGCACTGGAACTTGTAGGATGTCTGGAAGCATTTGGAAGGTTTTAAGAGATAGTTCCTGTCACCCAGTATTGGCTGTGGGCTCATGACTAAGTGCAGATAGTATTAATTTAAATGCTGATGTAGATTTATATGTGCTGCTGGCCTGCCCTGGAGCTACAGACCGTGCTGTCTTACAGCTGATCTGTCAGAAGAACAGAATGTCTCCCAGAACCACAAAAGCAGCACCATTAATAAAAAGCATTCCAGAGGTCAGTTTGGACAGTTATTTCCCAGGCTTCTGGTGTGGAGAGAGAGCTTGGCCCAAGCAGAAGCCTGATGATGGCTGTTCTGTTTCCCCAGAGGAGTCTACTCCTGACAAGGAGTTTGGTCATATGAGGAGTTTTCCAAAACTAAAATTAGCTTTTGTGAATTCTCTGTTAATTGTGTGGGTTCCTGAGAGCCTACGCTTCTTTAGTTACGTCTGTGTGTCTGCTTCAGGGGTTGGAATGGGCATGACTGCTCCTGTCTCCATCACTGCTTATCCTGCTGAAGATGGCTCCTTTCAGCAGAAGGTGAAAGTCTCTCTGCGGATCCCAAGCCAGTTTCAAGACAACCCTCCTTGTCCTACTGATGAAAGCATTAAGATTGAAGAAAGACAGGGGATGATCATTTATTCCACGTAAGGAATGCATCCCGGGATCTCCAGTCTCAAGTGATGAGGTCTTTAGGGCACTCTGAAGAGCAGTATTTGTTTTACCAGGTGACTTGCTGTACAAGGGGTGCATGTGGCAGAAGGAGATGGAGGATTGTTTCTAGACTGAAGACAGGTGTTTTATGTCACTTCTTACCTCTGGTCATTCTGCACTGATTTGGAATATGGATTTTTTTTCCGTGGGGTAAACAAGCATGGAGGCTAGCCCTGAAAGATACTGTGCCATTTCTATTGTGTGAATCTATTGTTTCTCCCACTTTCTGGGTTCCAGATTGTTCATAGTCATTAAGAATGTTCTTTGGTGTAGTTCGCATCAAACTGTCCGCTGAAGCCTCATTCAGGTGGACTCATACCAGAACCCACCATGGAAACAAGCAGCAATTGCATTGCTTCAAATCACCTTTGAATGTCTTGGGCTGTTGACTGACAGCCTGGACTCAAACTAGCATCACAATAGCAATAAGCTCTTCACCTTGTTTTTACCCTTTGGAGGTTCCCCTGCCTACTTTCTTCAACTATTTTGGCTGACTCTAACTGACTTCTTTCTTGCCTCCAGTTGCTGCTTGGCCTTTGCTCTGGGTGTGGGCCACTTCTGCAATATCAGCCTGTTTTGTCTCAAACTTGGGCCCTGAGGGAGGGTGGTGAGGTGCAGGCTGATGTGCAAATGGTTCCTGTTAGTGGGAGGTCTACAGAAACCAGACCCATTTCAGTCCACCCCTTTTAAATTTCATTGTGTCCTGTAATTACCAAATTGTCTGTTCCTACCTCCCCTTCTTCTTGGGCTAGCTAGAGTTTGGCTTTCCTTCATGATCTTTCCAGCAGATGGTTATTCACACCACAGTGAAGTGGTTGTTGGTGAAGACTGTGGGCTGAGCTGACTTGGAGATAACCTTGTGTTTTAGAAAGTTGTTTCTCTGATACGGTGCTGATTCACAGGGCAAGGCCATTCTGCTGGCTGGCATACATGGGGCTGTTTGGGGAGATCCCTGTGGGGCCTCCCCATGAATGACTGCACCTTGGCTGTGTCACCCATGAGACTTCATCTGTCCCAGATGAAGTGTGCTGCTTCACAATGAACTGTGCATGCATGAGTGCCTGTTGGCAGGGCCTGGATCAAAGTGCCTGCCTAAATATACTGTGGCCATATATTGTTCTCTTTCTCTTCCTTCTGTGCCTTGCCAGGACTGCTCAACACCTCTCTGGTTCCTTTGCAGGCAGTTTGGTGGCTATGCCAAAGAGGCAGATTACGTCAGCTACGCTGCCAAGCTGCAGGCTGCTCTGGGGAGTGATGCTACATACCGCAAGGATTTCTACTTGTGCAATGGATATGACCCCCCTATGAAGCCTTACGGACGCCGCAATGAGGTCTGGTTTGTGAAGGAGTGAACGTCTGGCTCCTTGTGGTGCTGCCTTGCACTGATAACCTCCCCACACTGTCCCTGTCCTCTTTAAAATAAACTAATAATTCAGCAGAGGCAAAAAACGATCACTGCTTTTCTCCATGCCTATGCCTTACTCTTTTATGGACCATAAAAGTCATTTTAGGAGAACACTTTCTGACCCTCCTGATGGTCCCGCTCCTTTATTCCAGAGCAGGTCCTCAGCCACACAGACTCTCTTGATCTCTTCTTGGCTTGTTTTTATCTCCTTTGTGCTTCCAGAGTTCAGTGCTGAAAAAGCCAAAAGTACTTAATTGACTGGTGCCTGACAAGAGTCACGTCCAAGTGTAGGCAGACTATTAGTCCCACCTGAGACGGGTAGGGGAACATGACAAAAGTGCCTACAGAGACTTTTTTATCTCCTTTAGTTTGCTGCAGCTGTAAAATGCTGCTTTTATCTTTGCCATTCCACAAACAATCTAAAGGGACACTTGGCATCGCTGCCAACACAGCCAAGTGAAAATAAAACGTTCTTTACATTAATTCAGAGTGTGCAGAAGATCAACACTTCTGTCGTCTGTCTGAGAAATACCATTCAGAGAAAGATCCAGATTCTGTTTGCAGCTTTCTTCTGTTTGAGGAGAGATGTTTTGGCATGTGATGTGTATTCATCTCAGCTAGCAGCTGGACAATTTGACCTGGAGACCTCAAGATTATTTCCTCACCTTCCTATTACTTTTGTGCAACATTTCTTTAAAACTAGCCTATGCAAGGGCCAGAGCAGAAATGTGTGTGGTTATCTAATTGAACTAGAGAAATGCAAGGCTGGGAAGAAAGCAGATGCTTATTACTTGTGATCTGAGGGTGCATTTGAAGAACGGTGAACATATGGTGAAGTTACCATGGGTGCCAGTCTAAAAAACTTTTCTTAAAAGATGTCAGTTTTTGAAGGGCTCCTCAGACCAGCTGTTTTCTTTAGAGGAGGAAAAGGAAAACCTGGCCATTCTGGAAAGCGGGGACTTTCAATAATGAGTCAAATAATGAGTAGCCTTTTGGAAATTTCAAATACAATAGCAAGTGTGGGTCATGTTTCAGGAGGAGTGGCAATGTTGAAATGTCAGGTATCAAACCAGCATTTTAGCTGTGTTGGCTCTGCTGGGGAGGCAGCAGGATGCCCACAGTGGGAACACTCACACTGCTACTGGGTGTGTGTAATACCTTACCTGCACCGGAAGAGGTGTAGTCCTCTGGTGATGAAGTGGCCCGTAGTTCAGATGCTTTCCAAAAGCCATTTTCCCCTAGAGCTGAAAGAGGCATTTGTCAGATGGCATTGTGGCTTCTGGCTGGTCAAGCTGTTGCATGTACGCCTGCTTTCTGAGAAAAAAATCTCAGCAGGAGATTCAAAAGAGAAAACCTGAGGTTTTGATGTGCTTTTCTTTTCTTTCTTGCTGAGCCATATAAGAGCTTTGCTGTGAACTTCATGAGAGTTTCAGTCACCTGTGTGTAAGAGCAGCTAGTTCAGGATGGGTAAAAAGATATAATTTAATTAAGCAAAAACCAAACAACAGTGATGGGGAAAAGCTATTGGCTGTGGTTAGTGATTGCAGTGCAGAATAAAGAGATAAGAATAAAGAATAAAGGATAAAAAGAGAAATCAAGACGAACAAAGAAATAGGCTTTTGAAGGAATTTTTGAAGCAGCAAATGCCCTTTTAAGCTTGCACCTGAATCCAAAGGGACCATTCATGTCCCAGATTATTTTAATCTGGGAGGGTGAGGAATGGAGGAGCACAATATTGTCCTCTTTATGCCTTCCCAGGTTTGTTTTGGAGCTTGTGTGGATACAGTCTGATGACCTGTGGTGAATGTCCTTCAAAGATCAAAACCTTGCAATTTCTCAAAATTTATGTTGTGAAATCTCAGATGTTAGGGATACCAGTAATAAACCTGGTATAGACAAAGCTGCACAGCTCAGCAGCATGGTGGGGTTCTTTTATATAATGCATACCCTCTGAACAGAGTGTGGGAGCTTCAGATTCAACGGTGAGAGTAAACATCTGTAGGCTCTGCCTGTGCAGGCCTGCTACCGGCCTTTTGCATCAGGCAGGCAGGATAGGATTTCATAAACATTGTTAAATAATGTCAAAGCCTTATGCAAATTGAATTGCCTTTTCTGTACACACAAAGATGCCTGTGTTTTGTCTGCATTTTCCACAATTTCAAAATAAATAAAAATTAATATTGTGATTTACAACTTCTGTGCTGATCGCTGACTTTGTGAACTCAGTGGGAGTAGTTGATTTGCTAGACCGTAGGCTACCAGTTTATCTTTCTGTTTGGGGTATTAATCATGTCACAACAATTATAAATAGTCATAATGCTTTTTCCAATAAATCATTATTTTGGGTATCCTGGTGTGGCCCTGCATTATCTGACTGTGGGAGACAGAAGCAGATGAAATAATCTCCTTCATTTGTTCCAGACATTGAGAGGCTTTGAGCAATGCATTTCTGTTATGTAGAAACAAGGGGCCCCCTCACCTGAGGAAAATTATGTGTTCCTGTGGCTGGGGCTCACAGGCAGTGAATGCATTAATGTTGAGGCAAATACGTGTGACTGATTTTCAACTTGATCTATGATCCAGAAACGTTAGACATTTTGTCCCATTGAGGTCCATCTAGCTTGGTGTCCTGTGTCTGTGATGGGCAGTAGTGGACACCTGAGACAAGATTACAGGAACAGTGCAACTGTGGGCTCAAACCTCCTCTAAATATTTCCCTGTCTCTAGTACAATGTGGTCCAGGGATTTTTGTTGTTGTGCTGGGTGGACCCAGGCAGATTTTATCTCATGCATTTGTCAGGTTGCTTTCTAGAAATAAGGTAAAGTTAGTTTCCATGGCATCCTTTCATCCTTCCTTGGTTATGGAAGAGTAGAAATACTCTTTGTCTGAGGATTTCCAGCAGGCTGTCTCTCTGCTCCTTAGGCAGCTGGGTCAGTCAGCTTTTTGATATGCCTCTGTCACTGCAAGTGAATGTTTGTTTGGACAGCCAGAGTCGCTGTTGACATTGGAGGATTTCCAGCCACCTCTTTGTGCTGGGGCCAGAAGTCAGAGGTGCATTCTGGATTTTGACCCAAGGCCAGCATGGCCACAGACACTGTTACATGCAATTGACTCCTGAACTGATGTTAAAACAAAAACAATTTTCTCCATCCCCTGCAGTGTTTGTTCTCTGAAAGATTAGAGCACAGCAGATTGCCTAGAGACTGCCTTGCTTCTCTTCTGAGCCTGTGCAGTGTCCTTTTCTGTCTTCAGTGAATGCTGAAATGGAGAGATTTTGGTGCTTTCCATCTGTTTGACAGGGCACCGTGACGTTGCCTGTTTTGTGTTGATTTAAGAAGACAGTGCTGGGGAACCTGCAAGGCGGATATTTCTCCGTGCTGAGGCCCCTCAGGGCTGCCAGAGGTTGCCTTGCTGGGTTGTTGGGAAGTGGTGGGATTGTGCATCAGACACTGCATTGCTGCCCGTGGCCCCTTTCCCACTGCCTCACTTGCCAGTGCAGTGGAACAGCTCCACTGCTGCCTGCTGGGCTGGACAGGCTCAGCAGGGGAGTGGTCCTGGGGATTATCTCTGCCTTCCAGAGACAGGAGTGCCCTTGCTGCTTGTGAGCAGCTGGGCAGGTCCCTCTCAGTGCTGTGCAAAGCAGTGGTATGATGGCGATAGGAATGGCTACGTTTAAGCAGAGCCAAATTTAAAAGCATAATTTTAATGGGAATTATACACGTGCCATGTAGATTTAGCTGTGTTGGATATACAGCCTTCCTAAACTGGTATTTTCCTGCTGGTATTGACCATGGCAAACCCTATATATTTATATATATATATAAATATGTACGTGCATATCGGTATAAATGTATGTATATGTAGTGTGTGTAGACCAGCCACTTTGATCTATTGTTTGGCTTTGTAGTCACTGAATAATTCACTAGAGTGAATGCAGCCACAGGGTGAACATTTGCAGACTGAAGTTTTAAGACTACTAGGATGAGAGCTTTGTTAGCTTCAGAAAGAAATACTTTACTTTGTAGACACATGCCTTAATACATCTAACACTGCATTAAGAAGACGACAGCTTTTATAAAAGAGCTAATTGGTTGAGTTGTCCTTATACATCTTGCCAGACTTATAATACTCCAGTCACTTTGAGGGGATGGGTGATCTATGGTGAATGAAGAAGTAACATCATTATTTCCCCATTTTCATCAATCCCCATGGTAAAGACCATGTGAGCAGCTATTGTGCTTATGGTCACAAATTTTCAGTTTTGCAATGCTGCCCCAAGGCAATGGGTCAGAGGAGGAAGATTGTGGCTCCTAGCTCACGTCATCCCTCCCTATTGTAATTACAGTAATACTTCTTTTAGAATAGCTCTCTGAGCAGCAGCTCTCTTTCTTCTGTGACAGCATTTCAGCCACACTGAGCTAAAAAAGAAATGCATCTCTTCTAACAGGACCATAAGTAGCTTTGGATGTATAACGCCTCTATAAAACTGCTTGGCAACATGATTTATTAGAGCAGGATCAGTGGTAAAAGTAACTTCTCTGACAGTAATGGATGAAACACTTCCAGCATAGCTACTCCATCTCTGCTTGGTGTCTATGCCAACAGCAGGCTGGTTTTGTCAGCTCATTCATAATCTCTGCTTTGCTCTCAGCAGAATCCATTGCACAAGACAGGCTTCAGCCATGGCAGATGCTTTTTTTCTAGTCCTCCGTGGGAGCTGCTGCAGAAGATGGGTCAGTGCAAATGCTGCTTGATTCCTGAGACTCTGCTTAATTCTACATCCAGACCCTACACCTCGGTGGGCATTGAGTGCATGCCACTCCCATACCCCTCACTGCTGATCACCCCCATGAAAATAAATTTGAGGGACTGGGGTGAAAGGAGCTGCACCGTTCTTAGACTGAGTGTGAAGTTTGATGATCCCAAAGTCCCAAGGAAGTCTCAGATGTGTCTTCTGTGCAGTCCCTGTAAGAAGAGTGGGTTGAGGAGCCTGAATCTAAGGTGCAGATTTTCAAAAGTACCAGTGCAAGTGAAAGCTCCCAGAAACCACATCCTGCAATATACCATGTGCTGCAGCACTCTGATCTGCACTGGGTGTGCAGTGTGACCCTGACAGTGTGACCTAAATCTGGGGCTCCTTGTGGTGGGACAGCAGAGCCCAGCCTGTGCCATGTGGGCAACTGCACCACCCCCCCCACCCGTGCTGGAACTCGGAAGCTAGGTGGGTTCCAAGAGGTGTTTGTGTTTGGAATGTGTCCTTCAGCACATGAAGGCAGGGAAGGATTGCCATAGCAACTATTCTCGAGTATTTTTCCAGTGTTTTCTAATCTTATTCATTTTTTCTTATATCTCTAGTGTTTAATTTAAGGCCTTTCCTAATTGGAGTCCAAAAAACAAATTGAAGTGAATTCCCTGATTAGACAAAAAGTTCAGACACCTTCCCACACAACTTGTGAAGTACAAGATCAGCAGCATTGAATGTTGCTGTAAGAGGAGATATGAAATTTGAAATGTATTGTACCCAGACAAATGATAAATAAATGATAAAACAGATAAATGAAGCCTTTTTAGTTAAAGCAAAGCATGGAAATAAAAGATAGTGTACAGCATAACAATTTTGGGCACTCCCTTGCTGATAGATCTTTCTAGGCTGTTTAATCGCTGATTGTAGACCTTCCCAATCTTCTTTATGACTCAGCTTTGTGAAGGAACATCTTTCCAAATCAACATGAGCTGGCTCATTGAAGTATCTTTCATGATCTGTAGTACTATTTAGTCCGGGTACTTTGAAGGGGATAGTGACTAGAGTGGTGTTTCTTTGGGGTAATTACCATGCCTCTCATTTTCCAGTACCTTTCTTCCGCTTTGTGTGTGTTTTGGCTGGGATAGAGTTAATTTTCTTCATAGTAGCTGGTGTGGGGCTGTGCTTTGGATTTGTGCTGAAAACAGTGTTGATAATACAGGGAAGCTTTTGCTATTTATTACTGAGCAGTGCCTACACAGAGCCATGATCTTTTCTGCTCCTTGTTTCAAGTAGGCCAGGGGTGCACAAGAAGCTGGGAGGGGAGAGAGCTGGGACAGCTGACCACAGCTGATATTCCATTCCATATGGTGCCACACAGCATATAAAGTGGGGGGAAGAAGGGAGGGAGGATGTTAAGAGCGATGTCATTTTTCTTGTCGAGGAACTGTTCCTTGTGGTGGGGCCCTGGCATCCTGGGGATGGCTGAAACTCCTATCTGCCCACGGCAAGTGGTGAACTAATTCCTTGGTTTGCTTTGTTTGCATGGCTTTTGCTTTACCTATTAAACTGTCTCTATCTCTACCCACGAAGCTTTCTCACTTTTATTTTTCTGCTTCTCTTCCCCATCCCACCAGAGTGAGCAAATCAGCGAGCAGCTGTGTGATGCCTCTTTGCTGGCTGGGGTTAAACCGTAACACATCTGCACGCCGATACCTAAGTGTGGGAAAGCAAGGCTGGAGGAGAAGAGGAAACCTTGTGGAGCTGTAGGAAGGAGAAGGTTGATGCCTTGGTTGAGTTCCCTCGGGGGAGGGCAGTGTGAGGGTTGAAGGCAGTGTCCTTGGTGCCCCGCAGCTCCCGCAGTGGCCCTTTGCCCTGGTGGGTGTTGGTGGGGAGACTGACAAGCCCCTTTCAGTAGGGTTTATGCCGTGATGGCTGCAGCACAATTAATCACAGAAGAGGAACCAGAGATTCCTCCCAGCTTCTCCAGCCCTGCCTTGAGACAGACTAGGTCTCCTCCCTACAGCAGGGCCCAAGGAACAAAGATCTTCCTGGAAATTCCCCGCCTGACTCCTCCCGCCGTGTTGCCATCTGCTTTGCAGAAGATTTTGGTATACGCCTTTGTGGAAAGCAATGCTCTTCCTCTGAGGACATCTTTGGCGCTGCTTCCCTGGAGGGGCGAAATCCTGAGGCAGCAAGTGCAGCTGGGACTGTTCTGAGCGCTCCTCCCTGTCCCCAGGCAGGGATGGAAACAGAAATGACAGTTTTATGAGATACTGCATCTTGGGAACCTGGTCTGAAATGCTCTCAAGTTAGAAACCTGCCCAGCTGATTTCAAAATGATGAAAGCAGTCCTGCAGGTTTTGATCCAAATGGGGTAGCAGGGCCTGGAGCAAGTAGAGGTGGAAAAAATGGGTGCAGTTTCAAGCACAAAGGGTGCCCAGGTGT